TATTCCTGTGTAATTGATTTAACACAATTCTAATGATACGATATAAGTATTTTGAGGTTAAGAACCTACCTGCTGCAATACAACAAAGTTGCAATAATGTGTTTGCAACGTTCTCTTAAATCGGCTTTGCACGTGCAAGTAATTCATATGATATTGCTTAAATCACCCAGAATCACCTCACCAATTATATAACGTGAATCACTTTTTAAATTCGAAGTTTGAAAAAGTAGGCAGTGACGGAATTTGTTATTTCCGAATTTTATAATGTGATTGGCATTAAAAACACGCTCACCTTCAACGAAATTTCCTTGGACGGGTCGCAATAGAGACTGCGTGAAATTGTAGATTTTTTAAAGTGAAATAAAATGATCAGTATTGGCAGAATAAGTGATTGGAACGACAAAAATCTTTGAAAAGGGAATTTTGTTGAAGAAGAGACTGGCCATATTTGAAAAAAACAAATTCAAAAGCGAGCCATCAGTTCTTGTAAATTTTAGTATCTCCTTAGTGGTGACCAAGACCAAGGTCAAGACTGTCCCCCGGTCTTGGTCTTGCTCAAATACTTCTGGTCTTGGTCTTGGGCTTACGTGTTAAGTCTTTAATTTAATCTAATTCAATCTAATAATCAGGTGTTTTTATAATTCTTCTTAGGACAAATTTTTCTATTTACCGTCATAATAATTGTCTTAAATGCTGAAATTTTCTGCCATACGTGCGAGCCTGACATGATTTTTAAAGAAAATAATGCCGATAATTGTGTTATGAAAACTGGAGAACTTACCCCTCCTTCAATGCATAAATTGATTTTTTTTTCTACGCATAAATTGACCTTTTTATATATATATATTAACTTCAAAACAATATAAATAATTAAAACATGAATTAAAAGCAACCCAAATCAAGTAAAATACTAAAACTTTAAAATGGCGGCCTAGCGTCACTATTAAAACTATTTTGTTATTAGGTAATGCACTTCAGAAACTAACCTTTATGAGATTAATTCCTTAACTCATTTAAAACAGAAAGATACAAACTCAAGCTAGTTATATGCAATTAAATAAAGCAAATTATTAGAAAGACAAATGAATTCGGTTAAATAACTTGACTCTAATCGTAAAAGACACTAACAAAGCTTCTTGTAACTGGTAATATACAGCGTTCACGAATTTGCGAAAGCTCTCGCAGGAAGCAGCAATGACGTCAAAAAACGCTGAGCAAAAGCACCACATTACCTTTCTGCGACGCTTCGCGGCAAATGTTTTGTAATTTGACCAATCGCGTAGCTAGTTTCAGTCCCGATTTTATAAAACTGAAATAAATGTATGTTTTGCTTCATGCTAGTACCATCGCCTAATCACAACTCTAAAGATAATTGAATACAGGAACGAGATAGACATATGAAGAAGATAATAAGTTTTTCCTTTTCTAGTTGAATTATGAGCTAGAATAAAATTATTTATTCAAGGACAAGACAAGAACCTGCTATTGAAATAATAAAACAATAAAATGTAAAGCTAATTATCTTCTTCATAT